AAAAAAAAAAAAAAAAAAAAAAAAAAAAAAGAAAGAAACAGCTAAAAAATTGAAGAAGCAACGTACTGATGATCAAAAACTGTCTCATCTCGTGTGCTAATAAAAATTTGGTCGTTTCACCACCGTTCTGTTGTATATCTTAGGCGGTATGGCATCCGTTTCTCCCGCATTACGAACCGAAAACTACCACTGGCGTACGGAAACCTCTGAACGCTCCGAATCACGATCGTCAAACAGATATGTACCTCTTAATCGTAAGTTTTGGGCTTATTTAACTGAAATTTTGAAAACATTTTTTATAACATAAATTGTAGAAGCAGTGGTTGAAATTCCTTCATTATTCTTTCAGATGCCGGTGTTGTTGAAGATACGCTAGACACCGTCGTAGACGGAGTCAATGCCACTGCCGAACTTATCCGTAGGAAGCACAATGAAAACGTAATATTTTAAAACTTTGTTTGACTATTTTTAACAACTGTTGGCAAATGAGCTAAAAAACTGAAGGATTTTTACTCTGAAATTCTAACTTTTAATAACGTTACTCACTAAACTGCTGATTCAACAAAATCAATGCCTTCTTTGCAATCAAAAAATCATTTAGCTCTTGAAGGCTCAAATGATACTTTAAAAGACTAAAACTTAAAGTTGTATAATGTTCAATTACAAAATCTAGGTTATGGAACGAAGGACCTTTCACACCGAAATGGAAGTGACAGGAAGAATGACTGTTATACCAAGTGAAGCTGACCGCTCAACTCGTTTAAGATCTGTGAGCACCGAGGACATTCAAAAAGAACTATCCAAATTGAAAGATGATCAAAGTAATACTCTAAGCAGAAAAGTACAATTAAGAAACTTAATTCCATTCTGGGACATGTTAATCCTATGTTTTTTAGAACAAAATGCTGTCAAGGATACACTGGCTGCTTTAGTCTACGATATTGATGCAACAGCCGAAGTGCTTAGACGAGGATCTTTTAAGAAGAAGAAGCCTATAGAGGTGCTCGATTTAAAAATTTTCAATTTTGTTGTACAATTTAAACTTATAATTA